CCTCTCCCTCTGGAGATCTGCAGGGCTGTCACCTCAGGTTGGTGGAATGGGGGTGACTAGGAGAGATGCACAGAGGTGCCCACCTGCTGCTGATGTGGAAGGTCCCCAGCGAGTATTTCCGAGCCGCTGTTACCTGTTTGTGACCTCTCAGCAGGGCAGATGCTGTCCTTGTCATTTGACAGACCAGGGGTCAAGCCCAGAGTAGTTAAGTTTCTTGCCCACAGTCACACAGCTAGAACAATACTACCTTTGGAGGAGAATGGGGGCAGATGTGTGTGCAGAGATTGGGCTCAGACTAGGAAAAGTAAGAGTTCTGTCCCTTGAACTGGGAGCCTAGGTCCAGCAGGCCCTCAGAGTCCAACCACTCAGAACACACAGGGGCTGAGATTCTCTGGTCAGGAAGTCCTTGGTGTGCCATGGCCAGGGACTGGGATTCAACTCCTCCAGGACAGATAGCCCTACATCTGAGGATGGGGGTCCAGCTAGGCCTCACTGGGAGTTCCCTGGTAGCTTTTGCTCTGTCCATGGGTACCTTATGATTTGTCGACCTCCTGCAGAGTTCAGCTCATGAGGATCATAAGACACTGACATCACACCCACTGAGTGGGGCCCGGCACCTATGTGGCACCTTTTACTGCTGTCAGGCTGTGTCACATTCCTTCAGCTAGGCCTCAGAGGCCAGGACATCCATCAATTATCAGTCCGGTACACCAGCTCCACCCAGGAGACCACCACATCTCATTCTACCCAGATCTGTGGGAGTCAAGCCTGGACTGCTCCATCCAAGATGCACTTCCCATGCTCCCTCCACCTCCTAAACACTGCCTGAAGCCTCCACACCCCACCCTCAGCCATGCTACCCCTGTCTAAGATACCATCAGCTGTTACCCAGATGACTCAGCCTGCCCCTAAACAGTCCGCCTATATCCACACAGCCTGCCCAAGCTCTGCAATGCAGCCAGAGAGCCTGTTTTAAAGCGAAAACCTAATCATGTAGTCCCCGCCTTAAATGCTGTCATACTCAAGCTAAGAGCCAAACATCTTAGCATAGCCTAGGGTCCTGAGAGGTCTGGTCCATCCTTCCTACTACCTGCTCAAGTCCAGCCGGCTTGGCTTTCTTCTGGTTCTGATCCTCAAACAGCCCAAGCTCTCTCCTGCCCTGGGGCCTTTGCTCATGTACTTTCCTTTCCCTAGAATTCTCTTCCTCTCTGCCATCCCTCCCGTTACTAACAAAACACATACACTTCATGCAGGTGCACACACACGATGCTTACTACACTACTTACTGTCTGCTCATTTTAAAAGCACACTCAGAGGCCCAGTTTCCTGTCTTTCAGAGCCCTAGTGTTGGTGGGTTGTATGCACACTCATTTGGATAATCGGTTGATGGACAGCTCTCTTCCACCAAAGATTGGATCTACCAGGGCAGAGCTCATGTCTGTTTTTGCTCACAAGTCTCCTTGGGGTCCCAGGCAGCACTGGTGCCCATGAATGACTGGGAGACTCGGCTGAGCACTGTGGCACAGAGTGTCACTGACAGTGGCCAAAGGCCAGGGATAAACCCTGCAAGGGTAGAGAGGTCACCATCTGCTGCCCACCACATCCATGGGCCTCTTCCTAGCTCACAGCTGACTCCACCTTCCAGCCTGCCTTGCAGAGAGTGTTGCCATGTGACAAGCTCAGCCAGTGGGGGTGTGTGTGGTAGTGCTGTCCATCACATGCAGGGAGTCAGCATGCACCCCAGGTGGGGGCACGCTGTCATGAATCAGCACAGAAAATGTCCATGTCAAATCTCATTGAAAAATATCAATGTCAAGTGGAGTGTACTGTTGCGTCCTCCTCATCCAAAAGACAGCTTGGTCATGGCTAGTGTTTGCACAAGAGAAATTTTTGGAAGCCCCTCCCCTCTGGAGAGATGGATGGGTGGGGAACCCCAGAACTCCCCAGTCTTCTTTGTGCCTCTCTGGACTGGTACAACAGTTATGAATTTGTTTTGATAGAAAACCGGAACTCTCTTCCAAATACCAGGGTGACTTTTGCTTCTGCAGGGAGGCCTCCTCCCTCCAGGGCTCACATCCCAGTCCCCAGGCGGATGAGAAAGGAGGGACAGATGTGCCCTGCTATGGTAACAGTTTCAGTACATGGGGCTGGCTGAGCTTGGAGGACAGAAGGGAGTCAGACCCTTGGACTCCTTCATAGACATTTAAAAGACTGAACCCACTCCGCAGGTTGCATCTGGCTTCAGCACACACACGACAGGCAAAGCAGAAGTCACCAGAGGTACGTCCCAGTCCCAAAAGGAAGCAGGGAGCCCCGACAGGCTCCTAGGGGGCTGCAGAGCTGCCTTGATGCCATCTGAGTCTCAGTCACCTCTTGGGATGTAAGAGCACTTAGTCCCAGGAGCCCACAAGGATATGCCCTTTAAAGAACCAAGGCATCTGGGGGCTGGAGAGATGGTTCAGTGGTTAGCACTGGCTGCTCCTACAGAAGACCCGGGTTCAATTCCTAGCACCCACATTGCAGCTAACAACCATCTATAACTACATTCCAGAGGATCTGACATCCTCTCCTGACCTCTGTGGGCACTGCACAATACAGGTGCACTTACATACATGTAGGCAATACACTTATATACATATAATATAATAATAATAAAGATTAATATTAGGGGCTGGAGAGATGGCTCAGTGGCTGAGAGCACTGGCTGCTCTTGCAGTGGACCTGGGTTCATTCCCAACACCCACAAGCCATCTGTAACTCCAGTTCTAGGGGATCCGATGTCCTCTTTTGACTTCCATGGGCACTGCACGACACAAGTGCACTTACATATATGCAGGCAATGCACTCATACACATAAAATAAATAAATAAAATAGTTTTTAAAAAGAACCAAGACACCAGCAAACAGGGGTCTTCTGGGCCAGTTCTGACCCATGAGCACAGCCAGAAGCACCCCCCTTTATACAGCTGCAGGACTCCTGACCCCAACATCGACAAGGCTCCAGCTGCACCTGAAGTTCAAGACACCCCTGTGGGCCATCGGCACTAGTGCCGTCTGTGGAGAGGGCTGACGCTACATGTGGCACCCAGACAAAGACTCCCAGGACCAGAAGCAGGGAGCTGTGATGGGTAATCCCTAGTCTCTCCTACCCCAGCCCCACAATACTCACAGCTTCTTAGCCAGCCCAGCTGACAGCCCCTCCCATGAATGATACACGCTGCAATGCATGAGAGTGCTTACTTTGGTGGCCTTTCCCCTTTTGCTGGATGAGGTCCAAGTGTTCTGCTCACCAGAGTTCCAACTCTGGCCCCTTCACCAGTGTGGCAGGTCCACACCATGCAGGGCTGACTACACTGCGTGGCCACTGACTGAGACCTTGTTATGCTGTGCTATCTCCTTCCTGTGGTGGAAAGTTGCCTGTCACTCAGCACCTTCCTTCCATCTCAGATAGCAGGTCTCAGTTTCCTCCAGGAGCTACCTGGGTTCCTCCAGGTCAGGTGGTGCAACAGCTCCTTGAGCTCTAGGCTGAGTAGTTGGGGGATTATGTTCCCCAAGGAGAACTGGTTGATTTAGAGGTAGGTGAGCCCCAGAGGCTCACTGAGAACTTCATAAGAATAGATGAGAGAGAGGTCTCTCCCTCGAAGACCTTGGACCCAAGAGTGGAGGCAAGACTGTCTCCGCAGAGTTAGTACAGAGGGAGCCCAGTGACTGGGTGTGAGAAGCACTGCTTCGCCCCTGATCAAGCCACACCTGAAGGGGTCTTTCAGTCAGGTAAGTAAGTCCATTCTTTTCCTGCTTACGTCACTCTGGGTAACTATGGTTACAACAGAGAAAGTCTAAGATATGTGCCACCTCCTTATAAGGGGGTCACAGTTGCCTTGTCCCCATGCTGAGGAATAGCTATTTTCTAGGCCCTAGGTAAAGGGCATCACATGACCTCTGTCTACACAGTGATTTGCTCAAGTGGCTCTGGGTCCTCTTGTTAAAGGTGTGGAGATGAAGGTTGAAGTGAAGATAACTCAGCATCCCAGGAAAGCTGGTGCTCTGCAATGCTGCCCTTCCCACCCAGGCCTTATCCCACAGGCTCTGACTGGAGGCCTCACCCCCACCCCTGAACCCCATTCTGCCACTTACGGACGCCCTGACTGTCCTCTGGGCCAGCTTGAGCCTGTTGCCGTCAACACAGACAGGTCCTCTCTACAGGCTGTACCCCAGCACAGGCCTCTACCAGGCCCATCTACCCACCTTAGAGGTCACTCTTTGTGGACCTAGGTACTGGGTCTCTGCTCAGTCATCTCTCCTGAGCCCCATACTGTTGGGGCCCCTGGCTGTCTGTTCTCCTGTTCTGGGTCACACACAAAGACACTGCCCTGTGAGCAGGTTGGGCAGGGTCTGGTACTTGCCTGGGGCATAGGCAGGACGTAGCCTCTGCTCCTGGGAGTCTGGTGACCCCTCACTACAGCCTGGAAGGCTGCATCTGTGTGATGGAGGCTCAGGGGACGCCTCACTACTGATGTTGCTGCCTGCCAGGTAGTTTTGAGGAAACAGAGAAGCACAGAGCACTTTGGTCTTGGAGCAGTAAGTGCTTAGTGAAGTCTGTTCTTTAAGCCAACATGCATGATCCGACACTGCTCTGCTGACAACCTCATGGAACTCTCAGACTTGTGCTTGCTATCCTCAGAACACCTCCCTGTTCCAGACTGGCAGAGAAGCTGAGAATTTCTCTTGCAAGCTGGGCCATCTTTCCTCAGCAGCACTTGGGAAAGGACCACCATGGGCTCCTTGAGCTCAGCCTTCCCTGCCCCATCCATAGGTCAGGGTCCCTCTGCGAAGTCCATGTGGCTGGGTCTGTAACCATGTTCCTTAGCCTCTGAAGCTTCCTAGGTCCTTGACTCTGAGCCCTGCACTGTCACCATGATGTCAGCCCTTCAGGGAAGGGGGATGAGCCTGACTCTGTGGCTAAGGACTATGGAATCTCAGCAACCCCTGCCTCTCCTTACCTCTAGCCGTGTCCGGTCCACATCTTTGGGCAGTTTCACCCGGATTCGGTTTGTTACGATGAGAGAGTCATAGGGGTAGATCTGTGGAGAACACATCACAGGGTCATCTTGAGATGCAAGTACCCTTGGAGCCAAAGTGCTGACCAAAAGGCACACCCGACCACATACTTGCGTGGGCTGCAGACATGCATATTTCATAAAGAAAGCACAACAAAAAGGAACTTTTAACCTGGGCAGGTTCAGCGTGGTAGGAGAGGTCAGTTAGAGCAGGTGGGTGGCCCCTTACCTTGTACTCTGTAAGAGAAAGAGCAGAGACCACAGGACTGATTTAGGAAACACATGAACCCATCCCCAGGTTGGGGGCGATCCCCTTCCTGGGCACACCCATGCCTCCCCACCCCTGCAGTCAGCTGGGTCATGCATAGTCTCTGGTCCCCTGAACAGCCTGTGTGGGACTCAGATCTTGGACTATAAGGGAAGAACTCTAAAGGTCTCCCATGGGAAACTGAGAGCAGGAGGCATGGCCAGGAGGCTGGAGGCCAGACCGGAAGCTGGGCATCAGCACTGTGTTCCCCGGCTGGGAGATGTCTCTCCTGATATTCTGGGCCACTCTGAGAAAGACACCTGTCTCAGTTTACCCAGATGTGCAATGGGTATTCCAGGGAAAACTTTAAGGGGACGGGTGTTGGAGAGACTGATATATTTTCTGACCTGTGTCCCTGTACCTCAGTTTCCCCATTGTCCTTTCTTCTTTACATTTTTTTTGAGACAAGGTCTCATGCAGCCTAGGCTAGTCTTGACTTGAACTCACTATGTAGCTGAGGATGACCTTGAACTCCTGATTCTCTTGCCTCCAGGTCCTGAGTGCTGGGATTATAGGCAGGCACTATCATACCCAGTTTCTGTGTGCTAGAACTCAAACCCAGGGCTTCATGCATGTAAGGCAAGCATATACTAACTGAGCCATAGCCTAGTCCCTTTTCTTCATGACCTTCTTCCTCTTTTAAACTATCCAGCTCTGTACCCTAGCTTTTGAAAATGCTTTTCTTTAAACTTAAACAGATGGAGGGGTTCCATGCACACAGGACCTGCCAAAGCAGAATTACTAGAACCATTCGGGGAGAAAAATGCCTGTGCCGGGGCGAATCCCTCGGTCTCCTCACATAGGACTCTGGCAGGCCAGTTCTGAGGCCTGGGACTTGGACAACCTCTTTAAGAGCAGGCTATGACGACCTGACACTCCATCTCCATGTGAACTGGTACACAAGAGCAGGTTTTCCCCTGCACTCCAGAGGTGACAAGTACATAAGTGTGTCCAGGTATAGGGCTCAGAGCTGGGAGCATAGAGTTCTACGGAGCACCTACGACGTGACCAGATGGCCATTCGTATACACCCTGACAGAAACGGCGACGGCAAAAGGTGGGGCTTGCCCTGCATTTTCAGCTCAAGACCCTAGAAGCTATCGCCTGGGACTCTGCGCTCCAAGAGACGCGCAGCACACGCCAGCCATAAGAGGCCCCTGCAGTGCACAGACAGAAAGCTTGGGGGTCAGCAGCAGATCCTCACTGACCAGCAGATCCTTGCTCACCAGGGGAACCCTCACTCATGGTGCAGAGCCATCTGCCAGCAGGTGCTGGAGGGTTAGCCTCAGAATGAGACTGGGAGATATGTTACTGACCCCTGACTAGCCAGAGACCCACAGGGGTCCCCGCTGTGTATACCTCGAGTGCCCCAGCTGGCATCCGGGTCTGTTCCACAAGGGGCCAGGTTGGCATTCTGGAAGAGAGAGAGAGAGAGAAAGGACGGCAAGAGGCAGGTTGCATGGGGCAGGTGGTAAGTGGTCTGGAGACATCCCCCATGTACCTCAATCCTCGAACAGCTGAGGAAAGAGAATGTCTGCAACACAATGAAGGGCTCAGGTGATGAACGGCAAAGCTTGGTTCTGGAAGTAGAGTGCTCAGAACACCTGCCCTATGGGCTTCTGGCTTTCACACCTGCCTCCCAAGCCTTGGAGGACTCTGCCTGCCTGGTCAACTCTGTCCCACCTTTACAGATGCGCTCCAGTGCCTGGGTCCCACTCTGTAGCTGGCACAGTCCTTCCTGTGCTTACACTGTGACGGGCATGGCACCCTGGGGTGTCTCTCTCTTCATGCGGTACCCATAGTTTGTTTTCCCAGTGCTCTAGGCAGAGCCAGGAAGCACCCCTGGGCCCTTTGTGCCCACAAGACAGCAAAGGGGACTCACTGACTACTGTCTCCTGTAGCAATACACCATCTCTCTCTCTGCTCCCAGAACCCCCAACCCTCAGCTCCACAGCTGAGTGTGGCAATGTCCACTTACTCCAAGGCTCCAAAACAAGACGGATCTCTGCTAACCCCAGAAACTACAGCAGCTCAGGGCTCACCAGTAGAGCCTGTGTTGGAAGCACTTGGTACCCTGGATAGAGTGGCTCTGTCTCTCACAATAACAAAGAGTGATGCTCTGAGGGGACATGGAGCTGAGAGTCCCTCCACCTGACTTGGGTACCACCTCAACTGCCTATGGCTTTCACTGACAAGCTGTCAGCTCAACACATCATGACCTGTGAGGTACCGAATTCTCTCTTCAGCCCACTAAGCCAAGGCTTCCTGCAGGGTCCCCGCCACTGCAAAGTGCATGAGCCCCTGTGGTGCTCCAGTCCCTGTCCTGTCTCAACCCTCAACCTGCTGTGAATCTGCCATCTGAGCCAGGACTGTGCTGTGAGCCGAGCTCCATGAAAAAACGTCTGGCTGCACCCGGCCCTGCCCACGGCACCGATACAGGGCCTGAAACTGGGTCAGGGTGGTTGGGCCGCACTTCTGAAACTGTGCCCAGAGATCGCATTTCAGCAGAGAGAGCTGCCTGCAGTTAGAGGGGACTGTGTGCTCAGCCAGCTGATCCAGTCACAGGGAAAGCTGCTTCCCTACAGACCCTGCTGTTGACAAGAAAGCAGGGTTGGCTATAAATCACAGAGAAGGTGCATGGAGACCCCATGGCCTAAAGCTCTTTATCTGAATCCGGGAAACTGAGGCCCAGAGAGAAGCCTTGGCCTGTTCCTGCTGCAGAGCTGAACCCAGTAGCCTGGGGCAGGCTGAGGAGAAGGTAAGTGTGGAAAGCACAGGGTGGAATGCTCTTTATTTAAATGTTTGACATTCGTTCATCATGGGCTTTTTTTTTTTCATGAATTTGGATTTCTAAAACTGTTGAAATAACTTACGATGACTCTTAGGACTCCAACTTTGGGTTCATTTCTGGTTTGCTTCCCTGGGTCCTGATCCAGGCATCAGACCAGTCAGTACCCCTCTGTGATCTCTCCCCTCCACCACTTCCCCTTAGGAGGTTTCAAGAACAGTGTTGGGGGACATTTCCTCAGTCTCAGACAGCGCCCCAGGCACACCTGTCCATCAAAGACCTTGTACAGAGTGAGGCAAGTCTAAGGAGAAATGCTGCCACCTAGTGTCTGGCGACTTGCATCACAGGTGGTCAGCAGAGACCACTTCCCAGCAGCAGATCCAGTTTGCTGGAGGCCTAAGGGGAGATGGCATTTCAGGAGGGAAGTGGCCCAACCTCCAGGTGGTGGTGGTGGTGGTGGTGCAGGGGAGGCATTGATCCAGAGCAGGAGGCGTGGCTTCTATGCCCCATGCGGCTCTGGAAGACTTCCCAGTGCAGCAAAATTTGGGCTATCCTGTACATGTGGACCAGCAACGGAGCTGAGTGGTCTGGGGATCAGTGGAAGGCTGTATTGCCTTGGCCCCACCCTGGCCGACTCCCTTGCAGTTCTCAATGGAGATGCCAGGCTATTTATCTCTCCTATTCTCGGCACTTACTATGTGCCGGCTGCTCTACATACATTCTCTAATCTTTACAGATCCTCAGCACTTTACAGATGAGGCTCAGAGAGGTCAAGCAACTTGCTGAGCTCACATAACAAAGACAATGACCGTAGGAGTTTGAACTCATGTTTTACTTTCCAAAGAAAGTCCTGGTAGGGATGAGAGCCTGGCTGTTCACACTGGCTGCCACACTGTTCTTGCTAAAGCCCACATAGGAATGAGCCTCCTGACTCAGCAGACCCTGGTGGGGAGGAGGGGAAAGGGCTTGCTTCTGAAATCATGACTCATGTGGAAACCATGTCACATACAAATCTGTGTAAAGCTCTCACGGCCATATTTGTCCTCATAATAACTCAGAGATAAGAATCATTTTCCCCATTAATTTTAGGAAATAAAGGCTCAGAAGGTTAAGTAACTTGTCCAGAGACAGATCTGTGATTTTAATTCTAATGCATATGTTCTTTCTAGAACCACGAAGCTCTCCAACTCCTTTATTTCATTAAGATTTTTATAGTGACACAGATGAAACTTTTTGTTTTCTTTTTCAAAATATTTTTGAGACAGGGTCTTATGTAGTCCAGGCTGGCCTTGAACTTAATATGTAGCTGAGGATAGTCTTAAATGCCAGATCCTCTTGCCTCTGCCTCTTGACATAAACATTTTTATATTTATTTATTTACTTTTATTTTATGTGTATGAGTGTATTGCCTGCATGTATTAAAGTGCACCCATGTCGCCCAGAGCCCGTGGAGGCCAGAAGTGGGCATTGGATCCCCTGGAATTAAAGACAGTTGTTAGCTGCATGTGGGTGCTAGGACTTGAACTTGGAGAAACAGCAAGAGCAACCAATGCGCTTAACCGCTGAGTCATCTCTCCAGCCTCAAACATTTTTATAAGTTTATGAACATGTGAAAACTGGATTTAAAAGTACAAATGCTTCCATTTATCTATTAGGTTAAGCTTGCTGTTTTCAGTGGTAGTGGTTTCAAATGTTCCTCCCCCCGTCCCCAACTAGATCCATGTCTTGTTTCAAAAGAGCCACATTCTAGACATAATACGGTTACATTACATAACTAATTCCAGTCATAGATTCTAGTCATAGTCTGGTTGTCTGTAATTGTTGCGTTGTTTGGTACATTTAAGTTTCTGAACACTGTAACTGCGTTATTAAAGTGGGCTTCTAGGAAATACTGTCCCCTCTTCATATACTATTTCTTTGAACCTTAATTTCATCCTATAATATTGCTACCCATGCCTTCTATTTATGATTTTATTATCTCTTAAGATCTTTTTAAAGATTTTATTATTTATTTTTATTTATTTCTATTAATGTATTGCCTGCATGTATGTAAGTGCACTCATGTTATGCAATGCGTGAAGAAGTCAGAAGAAGGTGTCAGATCTACTGGAACTGAAGTTATGGACGGCTATTAGCCACCATG